GTCCCAGCTCCCTTCGCAGTGGGTCGCGGAACCAAGTGAAACTCGGAGACGGCGTCCCGGCCGCGGCCGCTCCTCTTTGTTGTGTGGAGGAGTTTCCCTGCGCGCCCGGGCCGAGCGCGGGGGGCCGGCTGGAGTGTAGCGTTGCCCGAGCTGCCTGAACGCGAGTTAGACGTGGTGTGTCTTCCTTTCTCTGCTCCAGCAGCTGGTCTTCTCTCCGTCCGCTCTTTTCTCTCCCCGGTGCGCCGTGCCAGCTCATGTCCTGGCCGGGTTTGCTCGCTCACTGTGTGTGTGAGTGTGGCGGGCGATGGCTGCAGGACCTAGCCCCCCGCTCCCGCCCAGCCCCTCATCCAGGAGAAAAAGAAAGAAAAGGCATCGTTCACCTTATCGCTGGGGCTCCGCGCACTGGCTGTGAAATGGGTGGAGGGTGGAGGGCTCCATCACTTACCCCAACCTCGATGTTCAGAGAAATGGGCGTATTTCGGTAACTTGAAAGGTTTCTTTGCGTGTATGGAGAGGTTTGGGAAGGCCCCTGGAGGATTGATGGCTGTTTTCACCCCTGAGGATCCTAGTGATTTTTAAAAGTGAATGTATTTGTTTCTTATTCATTTATACTTGAATTTAGTTTCTTTTTTAAAAAATATATTTATTGATTTCAGAGAGGAAGGGAGAGGGAGAGAGAGATAGAAACATCAATGATAGGAGAGAATCATCCATCGGCTGGCTGTCTCCTGCACGGCTCCCAGCGGGGACCGAGCCCACCACCCGGCGTGTGCGCTGACGGGGAATCGAACTGTGGGACCTCCTGGTTCTCGGTTGCCGCTCAGCCACTGAGCCATGCCGGCCGGGCTGAATTTAGTTCTTAATGCTTTTAGTTTTTGCATTATACTTTAAGGGGAAACTGCCGGTTATTTAGGAGTGATAAGAATAAGATAATGTGGAATCATTTACATTTGAATTGACTTTCTAAAAAAGGCATGTAATCTTGACTAATTTTTATTTAACAACCTTTGACTTTTGGCAGAATTAGCATCCTTTTAGTCTCCGTAGCAGTTTGATTATTCGGGTACCTTAATAGAAAATAAATACTTTCAAAAGTACATATTTTTGTAAATAAATGTGATTCGGAACATTGTATTTGAATAATTTTTATTGTAGATTTTATAAATTGCCTTTGCCATGTTGAACAGAGTCTAAATATATTTCAGTTGAAATACAGCATACGAAATTCTAGCGTGTAACTTTTCTGCTAAGGATTTAATTTTCTCTTTTGGAAAGCTAGAACGTGACATTTCAAGTTCTAAATGATTGATATAATTAACATTTAAAAATCTGATTTCTTATTAATGTTTCTTTGATAATGTCACGATTTTTTTTTTTAAATTGGGTTTATTACAGAACAAATGTAATGCAGGCTGGCCAAGCATTTAAGATTTGGAATATCTTTAGGTCTAACAGTGGTGATAGATTATGTAGGTTTAAGTTGTTGGAGTTAAAACTAAAAGCTTTCTAGGCAAAATTGATATACCATTTTGTGAGTCAATTAATAGAAGTGGCCTTTTCTTAGCTTTCCAGGTTTTTGGGAAAGGTTGCATCTTCTTTGATGTTTGAAGTGGGAGTGCCTAAGTAGAAACTTCCCTGTTCAGCGAAATGCCTTCATCTTAAATTTTGAGCTTAGAAAAAAAAATACTTTAAATTGGTTTCAGGTTTAATGAAAATTTCTGCTGAGAAAGTCACTTTGAAATTTTTCAGAATAATTTTTATATGGATCATTGATCAAATGTCTCTGCTGCTTGAAGGAACTCTGCTTATACTAGGAGGCAGCAGATCTTTGTAAAAACCTATACTTCACTTTCCTAAACTACATTTTAGTTTAGCCATATCTCTTTATTCTGCATTTCCTTTCAGATTCCACGCCCCCCCCCCCCCCCCCCCCACACACCAATTAAAGAGCAAATATTAAACTAATTTATGCTGTGCAGTCACACTCCAGCTCTCTGGTTTGGAAGCTGTTTTTTTCTGAGTGAGCTGGTGTTATAGTAACATCATTAGACACCATTCTAATTGAGCTGTGAATTGCTGAGGCTTCTACTAGGGCAGTTAACCCTATAGGATCTGCTCTGTTCATTATATTTAAAACGTATATTTATTAAATTTTTTATTTCTTTTAGAGAGAGACAGAAAAAGGGACAGGGAGGGAGGGAGAGAGAGTGAGAGATAGAAACATCAATGATGAGACTCAAACTGCACACCCCCTGCTGGGGATCGAGCTGGTAACCCTGACATGAGCCCTGACCTGGAATCAAAACGTGACCTCCTGGTTCATAGAGCGGTGCTCAACCACTGGGCCACACTGGCTGAGCTTATTCAGTGATTTTAAAGTGAATGGTTTTTTAAACATCTTATGTTAGCCATTTCAGTGCTCATTGTACATGTTGGATTTCCTTTTTTTTTTTTCTAGAAGATTGTGTAGTTAAGCAGAGTTTCGTTTTCTGTGTGTGTGTGTGTTGTTGTTGTTTTTTTTTTTTTTTTGCTTAAGTGCTGATTAATGGTGACTCTCAGATAATGGTTAATCATGTATAAAGCTAATTAGTTTCAGTGATTTTATTATTTTCTACACTAAATGAAAGGAGCTAGGTTAGCATAACACATTCAATTTTGTTAAATTATTAAATTTGGGGCTTTTTGCTCAACAGTGGTAAGGATTCAATTGTTTTTTTTTGTTTGTTTGTTTTTTTTTAAAATATATTTTTATTGATTTTTCATAGAGAGGAAGGGACAGGGATAGAGAACCAGAAACATCGATGAGAGAGAAACATCGATCAGCTGCCTCCTGCACACTCCCCACTGGGGATATGCCCGCAACCAAGGTACATGCCCTTGACCAGAATTGAACCTGGGACCCTTTAGTCTGCAGGCCGATGCTCTATCCACTGAGCCAAACCAGTCAGGGCAGGATTCAATTGTTTTAAAAAGAGAAATTCAAACAGTTGAAAAATTTGTCTAGATATTCATTTGAGTGACTTTCAGTATGATACTGTTTACATCATAATATGCCAAGACATACGCTTGATAATGGGTCAGATTTAGAATTTTTGGATTTTTTTTCTTGTTCTAAAATGTGCAATTTTAGTGATGAGAAATGTGGCTGAATTTCTGGTTCTCGGGAACAAGGCATTTTGGGTTGTGTCACTTTGACACTATTACATGATGTAATTGGCATCCAGGAAAATTTATTTTAATCATGAGAGTGGATAAACATGAGAGTAGTGCTTACTAGTAAAACTAGAATAATAAGTGATCAGAATCTTACAATTTTAAGTCTTTTTAAAAAATGTTTTTATTGCTTTTTAGAGAAAGATAGAGATAGAGAGGAACATCATGGGTCAGCTGCCTCCTGCATGCTCCCTACTGGGGATCCAAGCCCGCAACCTGGGCCTGCTCACTGACCCAGAATTGAACTGCTGACCTCTTGGTTCCTGGGTGGATGTTCAATCGCTGAGCCACACTGGCTGGGCCAATTTAAGTCTTGATTATTTGCTATGGCAAATCACATCATAGGAAAGATACGGTAGACAGCTACCAGAGGCCAATTGTAATGAGTATCTATTATTGCATCTTAATTTCAATTTTGGTGATAATTGTAAATGTTGTTAAACTCAAGATCTATATTTTATTGTTTACATTTTAAATGAGAATTCTTTGCAGTCTGGAAAATTTATAACTGTGTGGGGTTCATCTTTTTTTTTTTTTAATCCTTATCAGAGGATATTTTTTTCCCATTGATTTCTAGAGATAGTGGAAGGGAGGAGGAAGCGGGGAGAGAGAAACATTGACATGAGAGAGACAAATCGATTGGTTGCCTTCTGCACATGCTCCTATAGGGGCTGGGGACCCTGCAACCAAGAATTGAACCTGGGACCTTTCAGTCTGTGGCAAACTGGACAGGGCTGGGGCTCATTTTTTAAATGTCTTTCTTCAGCTCC